TTTTAAAATTCTAACAAAGGCAATGATAAGCGTTTATCAAGATTCATGCACTTATGACCCAAAAAGCTCAAGTGCCCCCATTATTAGCTCATAAGTTGGATAAAATCTCAAACCAACATTTGACTCAAATCAAAGTCAGTGAACCCTTCAACTTGTTTGGCTAAACCAACAAAAAAATATTAATAACCCAAGATACATTTTTTCAATATCAAAATAACATCTTACCCCAAATTATCAAAATATTCAATGAACTTCATTTGTTGCAATAAATATCATTTGAAACAAAAATTTATGATTTATGTCTCAAACACCCAATAAACACATCATAAGCATTGTTTAAGATTTAGAGACCCAAATATATCTAAGTGCATAAATATTCACAAAACTCATAAAAACTGAAATAAACCTATAGAGACATGTTCAAAACCCAAAATAAGGATATTTTGACATGTATATAGTTTTTAAAGCAACTATAAATCATCTTGCTAGATTTATATTGAATCTAGGTTCCAAAAACAAAGCTTGAGCTTCATTTGGTGAAAATTTGATATATCTTAGCAAGCCTTCCAAATCTTAAGTCCAATACTTCCACAAGACCTCTTCTACCACAAATACCCTAACATCACACTAACAAGGGGAGAAATGAAAAGTGGGTGAAGAACACCCAAAACCCTAGCTTATAAGATGATAGGTTAGAGTCTTAGAAAATTACCTTCAACAACCAACTCTTCAAACCATCAAGGAATGCCTTCAAAGACCCAAAAGTTGGGCTTAGAACTCCAAAATATTCTAAGTAGAGAGAAAATGAAGAAGGAGAAGAATTGGTGTGAGGAGATGAGAAAGAAAACCCCAAAATCAGACCCTTTCAGATTTGACAGACCTTAATGCAATTTTTCACGCGACTAAAGTTGTATGAAAAGTCAGCAGCACTCGTGGAAAGTTGCCCGCATTCCAAAGTAGCATGAAAAGTTATACGAAGCTATTTTTGCATGAATTCTTCATTTTTCATGCCCTATTAGAACCCCATGCATCCTCGTTAGATTTATATACCACCCTTTATAAAACATCAAATGCCTAACAGGCACAAGTAGACTCCAAACGAGGGCCCGAAATCACAGGTGTTATAAAGAGAGAAAATACATAAAACCATCAAAAGCATGAAGTACTTGGAGCTTTTCATAAACTCCCCAATTGTCTCTTAAAACTAAAACAAAAATTCTTTATACACTAGGATTTTGTGACACTATCTCCAAAGGATAAACATGATGATCCAAAGATTTTGTTGCCTAACACAAAATTATCATGGTATTAACAAATATGCAAATATCCCGTTAGCTTGTGGAAATACACAAAAAATCTATCCATCAAAATCTTCAAAGATATCTTGTTTTTCCTAAAATCACCTTATAGGACCATGTTGCAGATGTCAAAATCTTGATTTTCAACCCAAAAGTCACCAAAACATATTATTTGCACATCCAAACTCCATAAACATAAAAGATATAAATTAGTAACAAAAAAGGCTCAAGTCATCCATTAAACGATGTAAAACATAAGAACAAAGTAGAGAAATTATGTGTTGGTCTCAATTGTCGTATAGATTATAAAAGTAGCATTCGATTTAACACTTAGAAATAATTATTATAATTTATCTTGTAACACTCTTATCTGATAACAACATCAATCAAATATGATTCAAAAGGATTAATATCTGAAACTTAGACTTTTGTTAGGTGCAAAGCTTCGGATTTTAGACAATATCAGATCTATAACTCAAATAAAATGTGAGATCAAATCTTTAATTTGATTAGTCTTAATCCGAATGGAAGAATTCAGTTGACTTAGCATCCTAGTCATTCCTTCTTGATTTTCAAGAATCCACATTTCATTCTAGTTAGTTTAAGAATCTGATGCTCTTACATCATAATTATTCTATAGTTGGAATCCGATATATAACTTATATTTCGGAATAGGAAAGAAAGGATTTTTCTTTGTAAAAGTCTTATAACTATCTGTATCGATCCAAAAACACAAAGCCTTCACTAAAATCGAAGACTAGTTGAAGTAAGGTCAATATTATTTCCAGAGCGGATTGATTCGTCATTTAGCCGAAAGAAGATCAATACAAGATAAAATAATAGTAGTCTAACAAACACTACTATTGGCAAGCCGAATATTGGAGTGCAAACTTATCCAACAAGTTTGACTCACCAACTCCTCCTACACTCCTCCTGGTATAGGAACACGCTCAACATGTAAGCCCAAAATAAGTTCTAATACACTATTTTGTTAACGTCATATATCATTTATTGTTCCCTCGACATACAAAAGAATTAGATAGGATAATAAGTGTCTTCATCAACCATAAAGGCTGAAATAAAGAGTAGAAACATGTTGGATCGACAAATCAGATGAAGACACACATTAAAGTTGGATAGTAGCATTTAGTGCAATATTAGCTATAAAAGGGCACCCTTGTCATACATTGCTACTCACCTGTTTTGATAGAACTTATATGTGATAGTTTCTTAGGCAAAAATCGTCGTCAACATCTGAAGAACTATCTTAGTTCTTCAGATCTGAAAGAATATATTCTTCTCTCACTCTTTCAGTGTTAGCAAATCTCTTACCAGTCAGATTGTTTAGGATTATAGGTCTTACCTTTCTAGCTTCCACAATAAATCTGTAATTCTTTGTTTAAATACAAAATATAGAATTAAAAGTGAAAATTTGTTGTGTTTGTATTCACTCACCCTTTCGGCACACACATTTTGTTGAAGCTATTACATCCTAGGACCAACATTATCTTATATTCAAAATAAATAATACTCATCAGACAACGATCAAGTCCTTCAAAATAGGGTTACCGAAAACTATGACATGTGCAAGGAGTTAATTAGGTATCTATCCTAAATATCCACCTGAAAATTTCTCGAATTTAAGAGCTAAAGCCATCGTTTAGATGCAATTCAAGGACGACACCAACTCTGATGAGAATAAGATGGCAACAACACGACGTAATTCTTGGAATAATAACCAAGCCATATGACTAATGACCTATTACGTACACATGTAACTAGAAAACACATTAATATTTATAAAAATTGCACATCACTACAACAAAATTGGGTTTATAAGACGTCACCAATAAATAAGCTTTCTAATAAACCACTTTATAAGACATAATTTATAGGACCAAAAAATAAAACGTTCTATCTAAGACATTGTAATAAGTTTATAGGACGTTTTTGAGCATGGTAACAAGTGTGTTAGGACACTTTTATAAAAAAAAAAAGGTTATATTAGCTATTATATGACACTATTTAAAAAAATGTCATTAAACACAAGTGTTCTATAAAAGAATGAGTTCATAAAAGAGTTTCTCAAAATTATTTTTTTTGGGACACTTGGATAACTTTAACTTCCTATAAATCCAAAATATTACAAAATAAACCCTTTTTGGATCATTAGAGTTCTTTCATGAGTAGGGGCGGAACACACACTTTCCAAGCGCAGGGGCCGAACCTAATATTATATATTTTCAAAAATGCCAAAAATACACTGGGGACGATGTGTTAGTAAGGTTTGGGGTTATCCAATCAGACACGCTTATCTTTTACTCATGGGTTGAAGATGGAATAAGGAAAAGGGAATAACAGGGGATCAAATGCAGAGAAAGGATAGAAAACGACCCAAGTAAGACAAGCACCTGCCAAAAAACGGGCTAGTTGTCCGAGCACGTGAGAAAAGAAAAGG